ACAAGCACAGGGTCAGAGGCAGTTCTCTGCAAGGCTTTTCTTAGAAGTTTAGCAGACACCACATGTGATCTAGAATAAAAAGACAGAGCAAGGGCAAGTCACACAGCTGAAAGAAATTTGCAGGGAGCCTTCCCTGTCTGTCCTCCCATACACTGGGATTAGTAACACCGATCAGATAACACCTTGCCCAAACACTTGCAGTTAACACTTCCTAGCAGAGATTCCCAGCCTCCTCCTACAGTGAAGAGCGCAGAGTTTCCGCAGGTTGTTTCAGGGATACATACCACAGTAGTGGAAGAAGTATTCCCATCTCCCAGATGTGCACTGAATTCATAGACGTACTCCCTTGAACACAGTTTGCCTTTCCTGCAGAAACAGCCACTGTGGCAGTTCTATCACCGCCCAAATGCTGGGCAACACCCAAACCACGGTGCCAGTTCTCGTTATCAGTCGTTTCCTCCGCAGCTTGGCTCATGTCAGGACATGGATCACTGCAGAGCTGAGATGCTCTCTGGGCGGAACGGCTCTGCCGGCATCCCAGTGCTGGAAGCACGGCAGCTCCGTGTCGCAGGGCAGCCGGGTCTCTGGAGCACGCAGACATGGCGACGTGGCTGTCCAGCTGCTCCCGCAGCTCTGAGCTGTCCGGGAGAGAGACGGCTGTTGTTCAGTGCCACCATTTCTGGGTAACAGTGGCACCAGAGAGGGAAGTTGCGGAAGTTTCACCCGGGCTTCGTTAGAGCTGCGAGGGAGACTGGTGCAGTGGCAGAAATTGCATGGACAGCTTATCAGGGCTCTGAAAGGAGATGGAAACAAGAAGGGCGAGGTAACCTCAGTAAGTTTCAATGATGTTTATTCTCTGGTCGGTTTCCAGGTTCAACCAGTGCTACGGAGTCCTGGGAGTGCTGGATTATCTGCACGGAACAGATAGAGTGTTCAGACAAACCAAAGCCTTTGAGAGACACAGGGTCCTCCTCAGCCTCACGCCACTCTCGGAAAGCATCCCCGATGCACCCAGGAGGGCAGAGTGAACCCAGCAGCCTGCGGTTCTTCCTGAGCCCAGTGACTGGCAGAGCGAGACACAATGATTTACGCCAAATAGTATTTTAATTAGGAAACAAGTTATTCTTCACACATAACAAAATCAAAGCTGAATTTGAACATGCTACTTGAAATGACTGCGCTTTTGCTGCCTGTTATTTTCTTCCTAAGGCACAAAAAAACCTGCTCTAGAAAGCTATTTTTAAACAATGTTTAGAGGGGTTTTTTCCTTAATTACTTGCAGTGTTCCTTGGTTCTAGCTGCCTGCGCATAAGCCAGGTGCGTTCTGGGCCACATGGCTTTGGGGGGTTCCTAGGACGTTCTCATTATTAAGGTTTTAACGCTTCAGTGTTCACAGGCCATGCTTTGGCCCCTTTCAGCAGCATTCTATAGAAATACCAGCAAGATCACTGTAACTACATATGATAGGAATTAAAAACACTATTTTTGAGACTCGGAACACCTGGGACATGGGATGCAACCCCATGGAAAGTCAGTGGGACCACAGCTTTAGAAACACTCTCCCTTGCACACGCAACAGAGGCCCGACTTCCCCCGAGCAGTTTTTCTTCATGCGGGAGGTCAGTACAGGTCTGAATGAAGGGCTGTCACATCCTCATCTCCGCTCCACAAACTAACACCTGCAAACATGAAGTGCATTTCCCCCCTCACGGGACAGGGAAGCAGAGCTGGGAGCTGATGTGCTACACGGCAGAAGCCCTGGTACATCACCTCCTCCTGCTGAGCCTCATCTCGCTCCCCACATGCCAAAAGAAGGCACCAACTGAAACAGGCAGCTCTGTATAACGATGAACTATAGAAAGAGACTGTCCAGGGCAAGAGGAGTCCCTGCTCTCCTGCGTGGAGATCAGTCAAACCCTGCAAGACCCAACGAAAAGCACCTGTACCTTTAGGCACATCCAGAAGTACCTATACAATATACAACCCATCGAGACATGCTGCAAGTTTTCTCCAGGATCTTTTTAAAAAGTCTCAATCCTGCTTGGGACAAGAGTGACACCTGCCTCTCCCCATTGCTAGGCCCGCGCCCTAAGCAAGCCCTCCGAGGAGAGGACACGCAAGTGTCTGCGAGTGCGCCGCACTTACCTGCCGCCAGCCCAGCTCCACCCGTGGAAGCCAGCTCTCTTCCCCCCCCACCACCCCCGGATGAACCCAGCCCGTTCATCCACCCGCAGCCCCCTGGGGAGGGCAAGTCAGCAGGACAGAAAACCCAGGCGGCATTGTCTTTTGAAGTTTTTATTTTTATACATTTTTTTTTTGTATTAAAAAGGAAAAAGCATAATTACCACAAATTACAAAGGACTAAAGCATTACTAGAATAATGAATCACATCAGCCTAGAAAGCAGATACTCTGAATAATATTAATGTTATAATACAAGCTCTCATTCAAGTATTTTACATTTTTCTCTTTTCCTTTTATACGTGATGATGATCCTAGCACATGGGTCAAAGATTATGTACTATCGACAGAAGATGGATCATGTACAGCGGTCCATATTAACAAGATTTTCCTCCCAAGTGATACATGGTCTGTGATGAGTCATTTTAAGTTTGTCTCTACGATAAATGCAGCTGAAGAAGGTTGCACACACGTTCTAGTTTTGGGAAGCAGAAGGCCGAGGTTGGGACACACAGGGTTTGAGAAGGGCCAGCACATCGAACCATCACCCCTTTTGCTCCAGGCGGGCGAGCAGAGGGCCGCCCTCGCCGGGGTGCAGCTCAGCGGGGGTTTCTGGGCCACAGATCCAAAGGTTTCCAACCCCAACGGGACCGGCTGGGAGAGGAGGAGGGGGAGCGGGGCCGCACCAGGGAGGCTCGAGGGACCAAGTGGTGCCAAGCACCCCCTCCCGCAAGGGGCACCACCGGCACGGGCCAGCCCCCGTGCGGGGCTGGCACCTGGAGAGCGAGCCGCAGGGGGACAGCGCGGGGACCCTGGGGTTGACCCGAGCACTCTCCCACACGCGGCAGGGGGCTGGCTGGCACCCAGGGCGCTCCCCGCTCCTCTGCAGCTTCCCACCAAAAGGATGTGCTTGTCACAGATACATCGGTCCTATGTTCAAGTGTCTGCAGAAAGTGAAACTGTAAACTACTCATTGAAACGCTGCCCTCCAGCTACCTGCTCCACGCCACCGAGATGAACATTTTCTTTAAAGAAAAGAAAAAAAAAAGTCATTCACCTACTACCTGTATTGGAAACCTTTAAAAAAAAAAAAAGTTGGTGAGGCATTTAACATCAAGTGTAGCAACCCTCTCAAAAAGAGCCTAACATCCATTTCAAAACAGTGACAAAGTGACATAGCCAGTCTCAGAGGAGACAGGAGAAGATAAGCATTGCAAACACAGCTTGCTACATTTACAGTTTTCCTTTTTTTTTTTTTCCTCATTTGATAAAATAACTGGAAAGGCATTAACAGCTAGAAGCCCCCCCTGCACTGCCATGCTGAACGTGTACAGACACGTGGCAGGATACTGAGGTTAAATGCATCGTTTTGTTACAGTACAGTCAATCAGTCCCAGAATGGATGAGCAGGTGCCGAAACTCAAGGGACCCCAAGGGCTACAGTGACAAGCCGCCATCAGGGGTGTGAGGGGGGCAGCAGGAAGAGGGACAGACAGATGAACAGAGCAGCAGGATTATTATTTTTTTTAATTATTTTTTTTCCCCCCGAATAAGCATGGCAAAGCAACAAAGCCTCCTCTGAAACACACCTTCCACCTCCACTCCTGACCCCATGCCAGAGCTCTGTAATGCAACTGCCTGCATCCCGAAGACGGGCTGACACACAGGACCGTGGCAAAGAGCCCCGGCTGTAGCAGCCTGGGACCTCTCGAGAAGAGGGGTGAGACATGGAGCACTCCCCCAGCTCTACCTGCAGGCCCGCCGGCCTCTGCCGGCCTTTCCGAAATCAGCCGGGGCTGGGCGCCGGCACCACGCAGCCCTTGTGAGCTGCGGGACAGATCGGCGGTCACAGGAGTACGCATGCCCGACCACTCAGACCACTAAAACTAAAA